AGAAATGTTAGCAACTGGAAAATAATTAAAAATGTACTTCATAGAGCACTTATTCTCACTAGCATGTAAATGAGATATTATGGAAACATGTGAATACATACAGCAGCTCCACTTCCTTTTCTAGACAAATCATATTACAGATTTGGACCTCTATGTAATCATGGATATGAGTTATTTTACATGTGCAGCCTTATTTGTAGCTGAGATAAATCACTTAGCATTGCAGAATTCAATAGAACATATCATGTTTTAAATATTAAAATGAATAAGCACAAAAGAATGACATGAAAGAGTTTTGTAAACTATTTTCATATGTTCACAAATTTTTAAGGACACTATATGTTTACTTTTTTGTATTTTGCTTCTGATTTAGATAAGAATTGATTTTTGAATTATTTAAAATATATGAAATTCCAAATTGATTTGATATGTTGATGTATACAGGTTATTGAATAGCTGGAACTTGAAAGAAACGTCATGAAAATGTTTTATACTATTCAGTTTTTACACACATTTGCATTGATCTTTCTGATGCCCACCTTGGCCAAATCCCAGACAGTTTGCACAGCTTCTGGTCAGTGTCAAAAACACTTTATATCCGATGTAAGGTTCTCTCTCTCACCCTCTCCCAATTACTCTGCTGCTTCTGGACCTCTGATGTCTGGAGACAGAGGTAAGGGGCACAATAAACATAGCTGGCGCTTCCATAATCCCACAGCTAGATTCCCCTGCAATGCCAGGCATAGAATGCTGGCACTCTATTGTGGGCTAATGCATGGGGTATTTGGAGACATTTTAAGGACTTGAGGTCCTTAGAAAAATAAGGATGTTATTAGCCTGTGTGACATATTCTTGGATGACTGGTTTTAGCTCCCTCTCAGCACCTTCCCTCTGTGCAAAATTTCTGCAGCTACAGTCTCAACCTATGGGAAATTTATGCAGCTTTGCCTTGTCAACAGCTAGGAACTGCATTTTGTCCAGCCCCTGCCCTCTCTCTGTCTGCCATTTCAGACCAGATGGTCAGCCTTCCAGCCTCAGAGCTCTCTAGGAAAAGAAGGCAGCGGCACATTCTAACGGGTACTAAGGATCTGCTTTGTGATTGAAGTGCTAGTCTCAATTCCTCCAGGAAATCACAATTTATCTCATTAGGTAGATGATTGATAGATACATAGATACATAGATGATAGACAGACAGGCAGACATAATTGGAAATATAAAAAGCCACATATTCCTTTCTTCCATTTATTTCTCTATTTTGTCTCCCAGCTTTTAGTGTATTTGATATCCAATGTCTTTTATGCCATATGAAAGAACATGAAGCTACCTTGTAGGTTTCCAGTGGCCTTGCAAGTCTAACAATACATTTGTTACCAAGTTTTGTATTGTAACCAGGAAGCGGAATTCTCATGTATTGCACATGTTTTCATATTCATCGCACTTCATGGGAACTTATTCATATGAGAATTTCTATAGCATTTATCACAGGACCTGTTTTGACTGAACAGTTTAAAGGCATTACATTTTTTTTTTTGCCCCTGGGGATACTACCAATATTTCCAAACTAGTTAAAACGCCAAACTCATATAATGACTAGAACCATTTTGAAAAATCTTAGTGTACCCAAGAACTGCCCAGTGGCGACCTATTTTGAAAAATATATTAATTCCATATTATTATTTAACAAAACCCAATGTGGCTTCTATACATGACCAAGTAAAACAGATTGGAATTCATTGTTACATTAAGGAATATTTATTGGTCCATTTACTATGTGCTATGAACAATTTTAGACAAGAACAAATGAACAAGACAGATGATTCCTTGCCCATTAGGGTTTACATTCTAATAAGTGATAAAGACATAAGAAGTAAAAAAAGTACGTGTATATTGTAATACCAGGTGGCTAAGTGATTTGAATAAAAGCAAGGCAGAGCGAGGGCCACAGTGGAAGACCAGGGCCAGGTAGGCCTTTCTGGGGAGGTCACAGTTGATCACAGACCTAAATGAAGTGAAGGAATGGAAGGAAAAGAGAAATGTTTGGGGACAGACTGTTTCAGGCCTAGAACGTGAGAATGGAAGAGTTAAGAATGCAGAAATGAGCCCGGAGAGAAGAACACCTGGCCTTCGGTGCCTTCTGTGCCAGGTCAGAAAGTTGATTCAGATCACAAACATGCTGTGAAGCTGTGGAGAGCACTCAGTCCTAGAAGGAAAAGGGGGTCTGCATGTTCCAGCCACATCGCATCAACCCTCATAACGCTGCAGTTCTTTACTGGGTCAGGTACTGCTTCTTCATCACAACAATCATGTGAAATAGGGGGACAGGGCCTTATTTTACAGATGACAAACTCAGCTCTGCCAAGAGCAGACAGTTCGACCAACAGAGTTCACACAGTTATTTGAACAAAAGTGCACTAATTCATACTCAGACCTGGTAGGCTCGAGCACGGGTGGGGAGTGAACACCTATGGTCACTGGCAGTTTCTGATCCCTATAAAGGACTTTAAATATTTTCTTGTTTCAACCATTAGTAATTCCAGACTTACACATAAACCTGTGAGTTAACGAAGGATAATATTTAAACACTGCAGGTATTAATGCGAAGCTGTGCTATTTTCATAAATATCTGCAATGATTTAGCCTTTATGAAAATTTACAAAAATGAGATCTTAGTGCCCTGTCTTTAGCTTAGGATACAGCTGTGTTCTTGCAACACTCAGGTTACTACAAAAAGGTCAAGTGTGATTGAAATGTGACCGAGTATAATTTCTAGGAAATTGCAACTTCTGTACAAGAATCAGATAGTATTTTTTGATATAGTTTAAAAGGACACATTTAGACTAGCAAATAGATATGCAACCATGTATGTTCTTTTCCTGTGTACCTATAATTAACAGTCCCATCATCAACTAAACCAGAATTTATTTTAACACATCTGCTTAGTGCCACTGGACTCAAACATGAAACCCCATTGATGCAGATGGTCATTTTTTAAAGTGTTCATTCAAATTGATAAGTTGTTCCTAAGGCTTTCCCCCATGACAGAACCTACTAGATCCTCAGAAAACCCTATTTCTGTTTTTCTCATCTATCTTCCATGGATTGATTTATCTGTTGTTTATCGTACTTTCCAATTCTTCAACCAAGATTATGTAACACTATCTTTTAAATACAGGGAGTAATCCTTTATGGAATAGTTCCTGAAAATATCCCCAAGTCTAGCCTTTCAATTTTTATGTCAGTATGATAGAAATAGAAATGTTCTCTCAACTCATACATTTCTATTTTACTAGCAAGTTTTTCTCTTTTAACATTTTGTTTTGTTTAGTATTCACACTCTGCCCTAAGTAAGTGATGCTATGAATGCATAAAGATTTTCTGTGGCTTATGACTTCTCATCTACTTTTAATATCCTCCTAAATTGTTGTATTTCCAGTCTTGGACTTTTGTAAGGTGATGATACCTATGTTGCTGACATAATCCTATCTGAATTGATATTGATGGAAAACCTCTCTTCTATTACATGGTGTGGTGTTTATGTTTCCAAGTACAGAGGAAAACAATACTGTAGCTATTCAAATCCACTATCTTTAGCTAAAAAGTATTCAAAATATTTTATCTAAATATATATGGTCAATTTGGTTCAGCTCATTTTCACATGCTGCTAATAAGAAATGAACATATGAAACAATTTTGAGGACACTGTATTCACCATTTTCTTTCTGTTCAACCTATGAATTTTGAATTCCATCTTGATTTGGATAGAATAATAAGGATCGTTCTTAAAATGCTGATTAAAATTAAAGGGTTTTATTATCTTATTATCTGATGTTATCATAAACCTTGTTATCTGGATGTTACCATGGATTTTGTCATGTCCAGCAGCTTAGCATACTTACTTCATAATGGTACAATAAAAGTAACCATTGCACCTAATTTTATATCCCATAATAAAAAAATGACACTGAAGAATCAGTTCTGGTCTAAGCTCTTAATAAAAAGGAAATGCTGAGAATTTTATCATGTTTTATGCTATGCTTGGTAAGAATCAGTTAGGGTGATCCTAATATTTTGGATGAATATTAATTCAACTTTGAATCAAATACTTCTTCCATTTATTGCTATAATTTTTAGTGGAAATAAAAATTTACTTAAAATTTTTCATGCTTTCCACAATTATCATAAAGTTTAAATTTAATGTTGAGTAAACCTTGACATGTATTTTGTTATTGCAGTGTGACATGGTAAAGATGTATTTTGGTTACATAAAAAAATGACATAAAAATCTTCCAGACATATTTTCATACTTCCTTTTTTATACAAATCTGTAATATCAAAGACAATACAAATCTATACTGTATATATCAAAGACAATACAGATCTATACTGTCTCTCTGATTAATTAACATAGACCAAGAATCTGTTTAAATTTGAAATCAGTTTTCAAGTATGGTCTTGACAATGATTTTAAAATATCAAACTACTGTGAATCATAGAATCTCAGTCAGAAACTTGCTTATTCATAAAAAAGAAACAGGTTTTGAAAAATTTATATAATCACCCAGATTCTACTAGGTGTTCATCTCCATATAGCATCAGGAACTTAAAACACATAAACATTTTACTCTCACTTTGTAAGACTTAAAAAAAAAATGGATAAATGAAATAATATTAAAGTGATTTAGTTCAGGGCCTTTCTCACATTAAACATTCAAAAATTTTGGGACTTTGTATTGGATTGTAGTGAAAAAAAATGCTAGAGGAATATTTCGGTTACATGCCAGAGTTGGCCTGCAGAGAGCTGGTGGTTAGCATCACACCACATCTGTATTTGGGGACAACATGTGGGTAGCTTGAAATAACCAAGGGGTATTTACGCCCAGGAAATCCGAAGACGCTACAACTTTCCTCCCCTACACTGAGAGCTGGAGTAAACAACTCTTAACTAAGAGACTACCAGTTTGCCCAAACACATATTAGCATTTTTAAAATTTAAAAAAGCCCTAATTATTTGACCGCATAGCAGAACCAAACATGCATGCTAATCTTTTAAAGCGAGGTCCCAACTCGTTAAGGTAATCATAATTTTCATCCTGATCAGAGACTGCTGATCCTAAGGAGCTCAGAGATCCAGCTAATGACCCTGTTCCCTCAAAAGCGTAGGTCTGGAGGGAGTCAAAAGGAGGGGCACAAGGATCAGTATTAGCTTCTTCAAGCTTTTCTAGAATGAATTTCCGGAATATGGCACTATCTGGGCCGACCTGCAAGGATTGCCTGTATAGGCTCCTGATCTCTGCGGTAGCAGTTTTCCGTGTCTTCCGTTCCCGCATGATGGTGCTGCTCCTCAGCTCCGCAATATCAAAAGCCTCTGTATCTTCTTCTCCGCCCCCTTCATCGTCATATCTGAATATATTCTCTCGGAAATCTTCACCTTTCTCTGGAAAGAGAGTCTGCTTTCTTCGCTGTTTCAGACCTAAGATCAAAAAAACAAACCCTGACAAAGAAAGCATATGAGAACATTAACATAATATAATAAATATAATGTCAATATATGTTAATATAAGTTTATACTCATCAATATTACATATTATTTATAATAAACTTTACAATCCTTGCTTTTGTTAAAAGCTCAAGACATGAGTTTAGATTTTATGATTATAAGACAAAAGAAAACAAACAGTTGACCCTTGAACAATGCAGGGGTTGATAACATCATTCCCTGCACAGTGGAATATCCTTGTGTAACTTTGGAATCCCCAAAACTCAACTACAGTATTTGCTGTTGAAAATTTACTAAAGGGTCATGCAGAATGACATAAGGCAGTATAACAGTATTTCTGGCTGATGATTTAGAGCAGAAAAACATCATAAAAATAAGAGTGAAGTGTTTGTGATGATAATTTAAAATTGTATTTTTTATATATTGAAAACAGAAAAAGGAAAATAGCATAAGGGAACATTTTTCAATCTATATGCATTTGTCAATTTTAGTAACCAGTAATCCATGTTAAGAGAAGTTAAGCACAACAGAGCAGTTTGAAATTCCCCACTGAGGCTAATTCTATGGCATAATTATTTTCTACATTAATATTCATTGACTACAAAGTATATGTCACCAGATAATTGGTTTAGAACCTGTGCTCAGTGATACCACATTAATTTCAGAAAGCCCAAACTATGATTTTTTAAAATCATAACACCGGTATGCCCACAATCAATATTTATTACATAAGATAATTTTAATATCACATAAAAACAGAATAATTTCAAAGCACCCTTTTTTCTATTTTTAGAGAAAATTGTGCGTGTGTGTGTGCATATCAAGAATAGCCAACCCTTTCATAGCCTTTAAACAATTCAGAATTTTACCTATAGGAACTGAAACAAACATGAAGTGATGTTATTAATATCATCATAAAGAGAACTACATTAGGCAATACTTTATATAAATCTTACCTTTTAAAAAATTGAAATAGTGTTCTTGAAATAAGGTCATTGAGTTTGAATCCAGGTACTGTGAAACTCAGCTAGATATGTGGTTGATATAGAAAGGGAGCTAATAAATAATTTTTTCAATCTATGAATTGGAGAGAGTATTCATGACATGTGCAAAGAAAACCACTGACTAATTGGTTGACCTATACTTCCCACCATCTAAATCTTACTCATGCCCTGACTGTGAGGCTGTCCTTGGTTTACTCATGGGGTTTTTGGACTTGGTTTAGGTCTGTTCCTATGAGTAAATCAGTACCTGTCACCCTTCAAACCCTACACCGTTTTTACTACACTTGATTCTGATACCCAGCTATGTAGCTCTATATTCGGTTTTAGGATCAAAGACCATTAAAAATTATCTTAAAAGCTGAGGCTGGGTAGGAAAGAATGGTAATTTGGATGGTAAAGAGGAATGCATGATTTTTTGAAGCTCTGAGAAATAATAGAAGAGTGAGGGCAAAGCAATTACAGAACCAGTGGCTGATATAATTGTTCTCAACACTCAGTAAAGGGGTGTTGACTTTTGACATGAAGTTATAAGGGAAGCAAGAGAGGGTTTAGATTATATATACTGGTATGTTAAAGAAAGAGAAAAGGTTACGTAAAATGAATTATTTGCAGTCTTGGAAGCCTGACTAAAACATTTTGGGGTTCATTTGCCTCATTTGTAAAGTGAATATATCATCTGCTTCTGAAAACAACAACAAACAAACAATCAAACAGGAGCCTGGGTGGCTGAGTCGGTTAAGTGTCCGACTCCTGATTTCTGCTCAGGTCGTGATCTCAGAGTGGTGAGATCCAGCCCCGCAGGGTCACTCTCATTTTTCATTTACTCCACTGGTTTAAGAATTGCAAGATATTCAGAAGAGCACACACACACACACACACACACACACACACACACACACACACTCCCATACCATACTGTGATAATAGAATTAACTATTTTTTTATATTTATCACATTATTTCCAGGAAATGAAGATGGGTTCAGTCCAGCACTACTTACCACATATTATCATGATGCTTATCAAAATAGCAAGTATGACTTCTGTTCTGAATCCCATGGCAAGTGTAAGGTCCTTATTCCTGCAGGTGTGTGTACTGCCATAGTCATCACAGTCACAGATGTGTATGGTAAGGGTGTTTGTACTTGTAAGTGATGGGATTCCATTGTCAGCAATTAGGACAGATATGTAAAAGACAGGCTCTTCTTCAAGGCTAAAACCAGTTCTATTGGTCAAAATTACAGCTGTGTTATCTAAAACAAAAATCGATGTGCATAATTTTTCAATAATATAAAAGAAGTTCATACCAGCTACATGCACTAGAGCAATAGTATAGATATAAGTTTAAATAATAAAGAAGAAATTTCTGATAAAAAGTCAAAAGATCCACTCCGAAAGTCATTATTGATTTGGCTTTGGCTTAACCCTAATTACATAATTAGATGAATTACATGAATCCGTTCCAAAAATGTCTTTGATAAAGATAGAAAAGGTTAACTGTGGAACATAGAAAAGAGCTTTTTAAACAGATGTCAATATTTTATAGAGGCTGCTGATAATTAAATTTATGATGACAGTATGAGTTTCATTTGGGTTATTTACTCATGACAGTGCTTTTTCTAAAAGAAACTCATTCTTTTCACAAAAACTATAAATACACAAGATTTTCAAAGTCATCTACCAATATCAGAGCAAGTGGTCTCAAATCATGTATTTATTAATGAGACAGAAGGATTAGTTTTATTTGGTAGGAAAAATTCTATTGGGATGTTTCATTTTACTTTGACATTATTAACCCATTTTCTATTTAAAATTCAGATAACAGCTAAACTTCAGTAGCACTGATCACTCTTCTAGACAGAACATTTAAAACATTAACAAAGATGAACAATATATACTTCGACACTTTTGAAGTTGTTTTCCCCTGAATCCCAAAATATTCTAAGTAACCTTTTCCGGTGCAATTTCTTGTGTCTGAGTCCTATATTTCTCCTCTCTTTTTTTTATTGCCATTCCCCAAAATATTTTCTGTAGTAATCAAAACTTAGAATACACAAACAGTAAAATGCAAATAAATGAAGTGTTTGAAAATGTGTGCCTGCTAACCACTTATCCCAAATCATCATTTAAAACGAATTCTCCATCATGCTTTGGAACCGATAAAACTTATGATTTTATTTACTAGGCAGACTGAAAAGGTAAGAGAGTTTACATTTTTCAATTCATATTTTATCGGATTATTCTTAATCACAAACATTAAACCAAATTAATTATTTTCTTTGTTTTAATATACTTATTTTACCCCAGTGACTTATACTAATATAAACAAATCTTAGCTCTAATTTATTTCTTCTATTGATATTTGCATTTTTATCCTAAGTTTAGTTAAGTTTCCTTCACTGGGAAATTTGACAAGGAGAAAAGGGAGAGAACATGCCTGCATTTATGCTCCCACAAAAGATCTTCCATAGATCAAAGCCTAAAATCAGGTGTAAGGAAGGACATCTGCAGGTGTTTGGCTATGGATGCTTGAGTAATAAATCCTATGGTGTTTCTTATCTTTAAGATATAAAGTAAAATTAAAATAGATTCATATTATGACAAGAAAATCTTTTACTGAAGTGAAAGAAAAAAGAACAGAGTGGTTTTATGCAAAGTCAATCCACTTCTGTATGGAAGGAGAAGATATTCTGTCTCTCCAGACAAAATCCTTTGGCACACTGTGTCCTTAGATTGATATAATCATTTCATTTTGAAGGAAAGAGAATAATTTTAAACCAATTTTATATATTTATAGCTTCTAATTAATGACTCCAAATATCTGCGAATCAATCAAGCTAACATGACTGTAAGTATATATCATTTTCTTTCCCATAGATTGAAGTTTAAATTTTACAAGGACATGAAAGGAACCACTGTGTCAGTACAGCCATTATATTTGCAGGGTCATTCAGGTTTTACAAGGTCTTATAGACACTGGTGACTTGGTAAAGTGTTTCTCATTTAAAGAAATCCAGTGAGAAATGGGGCTAGTATTTTCAGAACTTGACTTTGGGTTTCGTTTACCATTTTCACTGCCAGTCTCTGTTCTATTTCTCAACATTACCATATTGCAAGAACCTTATAAAAAGCAACATTATAAATCCCCTTAAAATCAAGCACACTTCTCAAAGAAAGGATCAAAAGCCATCATGAGTGAATAGCATTACCTTCATTATCTATGATTATGAAACTTGAGTTCTTTGTGTCTTCCACAGGTAGATTAAAGTAAAAATGGTGATCTTCTATGGATTCATCTCTATCCACTGCACTGATGGTCTGAATTACCTAGGGAAAATAGAAACAGGTTGCTTGGTTTTTGATTCAGGAATATAATTAATGTTATCAAGATTATTATCATTATTAGTATTAGCTTTTATCAAAATTGCTTTACCAAAATTTGTGTATATTGCAAGGGTAACTCAATTTGGGGAGAATGTTAAAATATTTTCTCAGGTTAAAAATAAGTTGACATTCCCCTTTCAAAAGAGTGTTTTGATATTACATAATCAATTCTTGTTGGGGGCTGAAATGATGTCTATCAGTTAAGTTCGTTAGAAATTCTCAAAATACTGCTGCTCTAAATTAAGATTTCCTCCCATCCTCTAGGCCTGATTTCCCTGATTTCCCCCTTTCTTCCTTTTTTTCCTTCTCCCTTCCTTATCTGAATGGCAGCCATTAGGATTTGTTGAAGTTATATATTCTCTGCTCATTTGGGAGCATAGCTGTGGTAAACTTATTGTCTTACTAAAGTATTAGCTAAACTAATGAGTTTTCAAATTGATTTGCGGAAATAACGCATTTAAAGCTTAGGGGAAATGTATATGATTTCCTTTGACCCATAAAGATTATAACAAAAGTGTTCCACATCAAATAAATTCCTATTTCAGATCATAAAAAAGTGAAGTCATGCAGTTATGAACACATCAGTTCACATTTAATTCTTTTCTTTCAAGACATGAATGTGTCAGTCAAGTGGTTCATTATTGCCAAAAAGGAGATACACTGTCAAGATCATATAGTGAGATTGTGATTAATTCTGGAAATTAAATTGATTACAGAAGTTATTGTTTTGAATTTTCTAGAATTAAAGTGCTTTTAACAATGTGTCAAACAAGAATATCTTTAGTTGCAAGATGACAGACCCAAATTTTATAATGTTATACTTCAAGGAATAGATATCTCTCCACATGCAGTCTTATAAAACCAATGTAATTTGTACGTTATTTCTCTACATCGATTTCTCTCTTTTTTTTTTTTAAAGGTTTCATTTATTTGACAGAGAGAGACACAGTGAGAGAGGGAACACAAGCAGGGGGAGTGGGAGAGGGAGAAGCAGGCTTCCCGCTGAACAGGGAGCCCAATGCGGGGCTCGATCCCAGGACCCCGGGATCATGACCTGAGCCGAAGGCAGACGCTTAACGACTGAGCCACCCAGGCACCCCCATCGATTTATCTTTTTCCTTATAACACATTCCTAGTCAAATCATATTCATATAGGGTTAATTAAATAATCTAATAAAACATTTTCATTCAATCCATGCCTACAATAATAAATGTACATTATATTAGGGTAATGCTTTTATTTTGGATTATCATAAGAGCCAGGGTGAAGGGTGGGGGGACTTGAAACTCTGATATTTTGAATCCTGGTGTTGCCAGTTACTAGTTTATTTTTTTAACATTTTATTTATTTATTTGACAGAGAGAGTTGAGAGAGCACAAGTAGGGGGAACTGTGGAGGGAAAGGGAGAAGCAGGCTCCCTGCTGGGCAGGGAGCCCAATGCAGGACTCCATCCCGGGACCCCAGGATCATGACCAGAGCTGAAGGCAGTTGCCTAACTGATTGAGCCACCCAGGTGTCCCACTAGATTTATTCTTAAAAAAATTTGAGATACTAATACTTCAGTTTCAGGAATGATTTTTAGAATTATATGTCATAGCTTTCAGAGTGCTTGTCATACAGTCAGTACATGTTTATAAGGTGTTTTCTTCATGAAAACGTGGAATTGTTGGGATTTGCATAGACAAGATGGTATCCTGAATACTGTGTGTAATCTCATATATATATTTGTTTAATTAAGGTTGATAACAAACTGTAAAAACTCATGTTTACCTTATTGACACATGCAGTCTTGATTTTTAGACAAAAAATAATAATCTCACTACCTGACTTTCTGTATTAAATACATGCATCAGACTAAAGGTTGAAAATGTTTTCCTTTTGTGTATGGAGGCTTAAGAACACCGGTGAGATTTTGACTTTGTATATATTTTTAAATAATTTTAATTAATTGAATAACTCTCTACATATGTACAGGTAAACTGAATATGCATAGGTTTCAATACCCTGGCCCCTTTTTAACGTATATCCTTTCACTTCCACTTGCTTTATAAATTTAACTTTGATATGCTTTATGAGTTTTACCACTTTGCAAAATAGGAAGCCACTGACATAATAGAATCAGTTACATAACAGGTACAATTAATTCTTTTGAATTAACCCTGAATGTGTACACTATTCTTGAGAACAAATTTCTGGAAAAGAGCCAACATTAATGAGCACAAAAGTCTTGACTAGGAATGCTCATTTTCCTTTTCATATGACAATGGAAATGTTTTTATTTTAATCTTCAAATAAAATTCTAAGAAAAAATCTTGTTGCATTGATTAGATTTCTAAACTAGTTCCTTACATCTACTTATCTGCGGCCCATCACTGTCATACACATTGATGAGAGGAGTGAAGACAAATCAAAAGCAAAGAGTAGACAGAGTAGACAAACATGGATGGTTATATTATGACAAATTCTGAGAGCTCAAATTTTAAATTCCCCTTTGTTCTCGGTAGAATTTTGTCCAATTTTTTTCTGAACCAATACATGTGATTTTCCATTTATAGCACTTTAAAATCTATAATGGAAATATATTGTGACAGCCTAGAAAATCTAAAAATAACCACTTCTACATATTATCATAGCCAATCTTCACAATTATCCTATGCAATAAAACCCATTATTGTCCCTATTTTATATTTACTTAGATTTACTTAGATTAAGGTTCAAGTCACCTACGTATCTTAGGTAAGTAAAATGGCTGGGTCAGAATTTGAATGCAAGCTGAGGCTACCGGTATGAAATGAGTAGTACATGTGGCCCCAGAGCATAATTTCTTCAGATTTATTGAGAAAAATAAAATTGATAAATGTTTAAAATGTACATCATAATGATTTGAAACACATATACGGTGTGAAAAGATTCTCTCCATGTAATTAATTACCATATCTATCACCTTGCATATTTATCATTTTTAAAGTTAAAAGTTCTACTTTCTTAGCAAATTTATACAAAGAGTATTAGCTATAGTCACCAAGTTATACATTAGATCCTTAGACTTTATTCATCTTATAACTGAAAGTTATATTCTTTTACCAACCTTTCCCCATATCCCCCACCTCAAGCCCCTGGCAACCACTTTCTATTCCTCCCAGGCACATTGTTCAAGCCTTAGTCCTGTTCTTGTTCATAAAGTTTGCATACAAAAAAATACCATAATGGATATGGTATGCAAGAAGCAAACAAAACCAAGTCTCGTAAAAGACAGAGACATACAGAGAAATAAATAATATAATTGTCATAGAAGAGATATACACCAAAATAATGGTTGGGAAAAAAAAGAAGAAAAGAATCTGACTATAACATTTAGGAAAAAGAAATGATTTTCCAAAGTGGAATTGAGCAAATGAGCTAATACTTGAGTAAAAAATATGAATTAATGGGGAAAGTATGATCCAGATAAAAGAATACCATGTGAAAACCAAGAATGCAGAGAGATCATATATTATTATGTAGAAATAAATGAAATTTTCATTTTTTAAGTCAGAGAGATAAACAGCAGTTTCATAAGTTTCAACTTAATCATTTTATGGAACTACAAACAGTATTTGACTTTAAAGATAATCATGGGAAAATCATTTCATGTCTATCAATTACTTTGCACTGACTTCTTTTTCTAAAAAAAAGAGGCACACATGGGCCAGCTTACTAAAATGTCATTCTTAGATTATTATGTTGATTAAAAAAATCACTACAACATTCATTTTCACACAAAATATAGGTCTGACCTTTACTAAACCATGCAATTTGGGGCACCTGGGTGGCTCAGTCGGTTAAGCGGCTGCCTTTGGCTCAGGTCATGATCCTGGAGTCCCGGGAATGGAGTCTCGCATCAGGGTCCCTGCTCAGCAGGGAGCCTGTTTCTCCCTCTGACTCTTCCACCCTGTCATGCTCAATATCTCTCTCTCTCTCAAATAAATAAATAATAATAATAAAATCTTTTAAAAAAACATACAATTTCTTTGATAGCTAGGCAAAGAAGCAAGTATCATATGTGGATTTGGAGTAAACAGGTAATACATTTTTTTAATCCTAATATAATAGATGGATTTATTTTTTATTTTTTTAATTATTTTTTTATTATTATGTTATGTTAATCACCATTCATCACATCATTAGTTTTTTTATGTTATGTTAATCACCATTCATCACATCATTAGTTTTTGATGTAGTGTTCCATGATTCATTGTTTGCGTATATCACCCAGTGCTCCATGCAGAACGTGCCCTCCTTAATACCCATCACCAGGCTAACCCATCCCCCCACCCTGCTCCCCTCTAGAACCCATGGTTTGTTTTACAGAGTCCATTGTCTCTCATGGTTCATCTCCACCTCTGACTTCCCGTCCTTCATTCTTCCC